GAAGAATTTTTAAGCCGACAATATTTGTAGTGAAGACTACTAGAAACTTTTTTTATGAAGTAAAAAGGCAAAAGGGCTAGAATTAGGGGCGTGGCTGGTATTAAGGGCATCATTGCAAATTGACATTAACAATGACCAATGAAGAAACTTTTCGCTTTATAGAGCTCTTCCAAGCCGAAAATTATTTGTATAAAAATTACGAAAATAAAAATTGTAATAACAATAAATAAAAATAACAATTCCCTCCACACATTCACGTAGTAGCGGTATGCTTTGAGTAAATAAGCCGCAGCAGCTGTTAGCGCCTCAATATGCAATTTAATAAATTTTTCTGCACATTGGCCTGAACCGAAGTAAACTGAACGACCTTCCAACGTGTGGTCGCCGTCACAAACTCTTGGCCAATATCTTTGCACCACATTCGCCAATATGTTGGCCAACGTGTAGAGCCACCGGTAGATACTTTACCCTATATAGATATAATATAGTTAAAAACCCGTATTGTACATGTTCTTTGACTATGCAATCGCGATTCGATACATTGTCAGAAAACAGTGTTTTATACATGTTTAGTCGTCAGTCCAAACTCACAGTAAGATTTAGACTTATTTATTATTTTATCTATGTTTATATATTTTTATAAATGTATTACATATTTATTTATTGTATTAAATAAATATTGTAACGTAATTGCTGCTAATGTGCATATAATAGAATTTGCAATAAAGTTTTGTACATCTGATTTCAGGCAGTATATATTTAGTGAAATTAACACATTCCCAGCGGCACTGATTTATCTGTACTTTCCATTACAGCGTTACGAGACGTTTGAAACCTCGTTCTGAACCAGACGTAGTAGCGGCACGAGGCTTAGTAAACCCCACCGTCCACAGGAGACAAAAATCTTTTTTGGCGCCAAATAAGGGAAAATTGAAATGAGTTGATTAAACTAAATCTGTCTGTGGGTAGATTATTAGTTTAGATTCTATAGGTAAAATAAAATGTGGTGTCTTATGTACCTGTTACGGCCATATCAGTTACCCCGACAAAAGTCGACAGGATTAGGGACCGTCAGTAAACCAACTCGACGAGCAACCGAGGGAAGGGCCCAATGGCCTATGGATAATTAATTTATAACGGATGTATAAGTAAACTTACCGAGCTCCAGAGGTAGTGTCGACCACAAGGCACCGTCAGGGGTAAGTAAATGGTATGTGTGAGTAGTGTAGGAAAGTGTGTCAATTAACCTGACGTCACCGAGGTAATCGTTCAGCAGCACCACATGCGTTGACCGCTCCACAAGGCGCTCACTGCTATCGGAACTCAAGTCTAACGTCACTTAGCACAAACTATAATCGAAGATAACGCGATCTCCTACCGGATCACAAAGTTTAGCGTTCCACACGACAAAGCAAAATTCTTTCGTACGATATTAACTACACAAGCCACTCGTCGACGCAAATTAATAGCAATCGAAGTTAAAATAGTCACTTTAAACTCAAAAAAAGCCTCGTTGTCACGTAAATTAACGAAATAAAACAACACAATGGAGGCCGTTGTGATGCGAAGTAGCAATGCTTATGTAACTCGCGACTCTAATCGACACGGTCGTCGCGTACAACGATTCTGCTAGACTAGCTCGCTGGCAGTGCCGTAGGCGCACAGCGAACGCCCCCTCCCGTGCAACGCTAACCGGTTCCCTGCTCGGAACTAGCGCCTTGCAATTTGGGGCAAACAAACCCTCGTCCCGGACATAAGAACCTATGTCCGCGAGTAAATTGGCAAACGGGATATGGTTGCGACGGCATGTTGCAAGACCGAATCTCAAACCAAAACCTTGGCCACGCTAGGCACCCCAACCGGTCCATACGACAACTTAACAATGCGCCCACGGTGCCAATACAAAGTAGAAGCGTTAAGTACCTTTACTAACACGAGGTCTCCAAACCGAGGAGGATCCGTCTCGTCAGACCACTTAACGCGCTGCTGCAAAAGATGTAGGTACTCCAGAGACCATCGGTGAAAACTCTGAGTCATTTGTTGCAGCAGGTCAAATCTGCTCAACCGCGAAGAGTTTGTTTCCCTGAAGGGGCAAGTCGTTAAGTGGCTGCCCAATCAGGAAGTGGGTTAGAACCTCCAAATCATTTGGATCGGATGAGAGGGGCCACCAGAGTTGAGTACCGCCTCAATTTTACAGAATACAGTGGCAAGCTCCTTAAATGTCAAAATAGTTTCGCCAATAACGCGACGGAGATGCGTTTTTGCAACCTTAACCACCGCCTCTAAAATACCGCCCCAGTGTGGGCAAGCCGGAGGGTTGAATTTCCACTAGATGCCCTTCTTGGACATCACAGTACCTAAATAAGTTCTGTTGCTGGACAGAAATTCGACGACCTCCTTCAAATATCTATCCGTGCCCTTATAATTCGTTCCGCAATCCGACCGGATCAGGTCCAGCAAACCGCGACGCGATACGAAGCGGTCCAGCGTGGCCACAAAGGCTGCAGTGCTGAGGGCACTTACAAGTTCTAAGTGATCAGCCTTAGTGGCGAGGCACACGAAAACGCACAGATAGGTCTTATGTGAACGCGCGTTACGAAGGTTGGAGGACTTGACGAGGAAGGGGCCAGCAAAGTCGGTTCCGACTCCAGCGAATGGTCGGATTGCCCTGATGCGGTCGGGTGGTAAGTCACCCATCATCGGCTGCGATATGGTGGCCTTCAATTTATAACAAGGTATGCACTTAAAAATGACGCTCCTAATGGTGCATCGGCCAGCCAAAATCCAAAACTCCCGCTGCAAAATAGCCGAAAGAGCGTTACACCCAGCGTGGGCATTCCGAATATGGTGGTGAGTTACCAGCAACCGAACAAAGTCACCGTCCTTAGGGAGCAGTAACGGGTGTCGAGCCCCGTACGGCAGTTGAGAATTTTTCAAACGTTCGCCAACGCGCAGCATCCCAGCGTCGTCCAGGAAGAGTTTCAGGTTGGCCACAGCGCCCTTGACAACGGAGCCTCGCTTCAAGGTGTCAATCACGGGCTCAAAATGCTCCGCTTAGACCATACGGGTCCAATGCATCAAGGCTTCGCGACTCTCGCTAGGGGGACAAAACGGAATCAGAGATTCGGTTGGACGGGTCTCTTCAATTGCGGACAAATCGACGCAACCAAGCAGTCACTCCTAAGAGCTTGTCGAGAGAGCTGTACCATTCTAGTAGGGAGAAATCCCGAGTGGGCTTATCCTTGCCCACTCCTACTCGGGCTCGTAGGCCAGGCAATTCAATCGGTTGGGAGTTTTTATTCTGGGGCCAGAACGATTGAGACTCAGTCAACCAACTGGGCCCCCACCACAGCGGGTGGTCAACCAAAGAGGGGGCTTCACAGCCGCGAGAAGCGCAGTCTGCGGGATTCAACTCCCCTGGGACATGTCTCCAGGTTAGAGACGTGCCAGAATTCTGGATTTGAGACACGCGGTTCACCACAAAGACCTCAAGATTGTGAGGTGCAGCTCGAAGCCAACAAAGTACTATCTCACTGTCCGACCACGCGTAGACGTCCGTAATGTTGTTTACAGACTTCAAAGAAGAGTGAACGTGGTTGAGGAGTCGCGTGAGAAGAGAGGCCCCGGACAGTTCCAATTTAGGGATAGTTAAGCGGGACATAATGGGAGCAACCGTGCTTTTAGCAAGTTCGGTCAACCACGGCATCTTTACCATATTTTTGAAGAAAAAACTTAATAAACGGAAAAATAAAACACTTGTAAATAAGCTATTCTTTTTAATCGATGAATATAGTACTTCTACATTGCTTTATAAATGCACTGCTCCTCATAGCTGCAAAACCACTAAAGCAGCGCCAAAAACATAACACAGGTAAAGATGCCGCAAAAATGGCTACTTTACCTATACCGTATATCTCGATAAAATGAAGCCTTTATAACTGAAATTGGTAAAGATACCCTTTCGCTTTACACTCTCTGTTTAGATATATTGGTACTTTAAATAAAAAATATATATATACGAGCAATACAGGCTGATAGGTAAAGATGGCATGGACTCCATTGAAATTCTCATACAAATGAAATTTATTATCAGGGCTGCCACTTGTTTAAAAATGAAGTTAAAATGTACGCCTATAAAAACATTGATTAAATGCAAGTCAGATAGTCCCATGGAGTGTTCTGTAAATACCATGCGATAAACTTGAAAAATTGTGAAGTATTTAATATATTTAAAGTACTGGTTGTCACATATTTATCATACTTATACTATCATAGTTTCAGCCAAAGTGTATTGAAAATAAAACTAAAAGTATTATTCTAATTTATATTTAAATTTGACATCAAAATATAAAATTCCACGCCGGTTTTTATAGGGGTTGGGTAAAATTTGCACTAAGTATATCATTTTCGAATAAAATACTTGTATCGGGTACTGTGGACCAGTAAAACCCACCTTTTTTTATGTTTCATGAATTTCGCGAAAACACCTTCACACTCGGATATTTTCATAATCAGACCGCAGTAATACTTATACGTATTTTTGGTACTTTTAAACTTTACCAAGATCTATTGTCCTTCCATATATAAACTTTCGGCTTTATTTGTCTTCTCATTTTGTTCATTTTTAGTCTCTTCTAGTCTAGGTCGTTTTATCTTCAGTCCTTTTTTTTCATCGTTTTCTATTATTAGGCTTTCTATCTGTTGTTTTCTTTCCTGCTTCTCTATTCTGTGTTCTTTTGTTTCCAGTTTTTTTTTTCACTGTGTCCTGGTCTTCCCATAAGCCTCTCTCCATTTCATATTCATTTACCATCTGTTTTTCCACATTCCGTCCGTTCCTTTCATTATTTTCTATCCTTAAGTTTTCTTCCTGGTGTCCTTTTGTTTCCAATTCCTTCATTTGTTCCTCTGTGTCCTGTATTTGACATTCGATTTTCTCCAAGTCATATTCATATACCATCTCTTGTACTCGCCTATTATCACTTTCTATTCTGAAGTTTTTTTTATTTAATACTCTTTTTTTCCAATTCTTTCATTTGTTCCTGTATTTCCTGTTTTCCAAATTCTTCTTTCTCCTTGTCATTTAACATATCGTTTTCTATCCATTCATCACTTTCCGTTCTCAATCTTTCTGTCTCATGTTCTTTCGTTTCCAAATAGGCCATTTGTTCACCTTTTTCCTTTTCATCCATTTTATGATCTTCTACCAGTTGTCTCAATAAGTAATCCTGCATGTCTTCAATTGAATTGTAATTCGAAGAATCTGCATACTGTATAGAGCAGTCAGAGTCCGAATCCGAAGAATTATCTTGGAGGTTTTTGGTTCTTATACTCTTCCTTTTGACATCTTTTTTCAAAAATTTTATTATTTAGTATTTTAATAGTTTTCTCATCTGGTTGGTTGGTCATATATATATATATATATATATATATATATATATATATATATATATATATATATATATATATAAAAATTGCATTGTTATTGTTATTAGAATAAGTGTATTAATATTGTTATGTAAGTCTTAATCACCAACCCTAGCTACAGGTAAAAACGCCACTGTACAAACTGTGGCAACTTTACCTAGCCTCAACTATCATTACCTATGCAAATTTCTCTTAAAATTGTTAAGAAATTACTATTATAACAGTTTCTACGTCTTCTTAGGAAGGTTATATATAATATGTATCAATTCTACTTACCTCAGCTAAGTGAATTCACAAGCACAATTAAAATTTCGACCAGAATCTGCTGCGACAAGTGTCCCGTGAGTATCAACAAACGTTTATAACTTGTCATTTGTCAGTGCTGCTAGTATTAAAAAAATTGTATGACCATTGGCTCATTACGAAACAACTAATGTGTCTATGAAATATCTACCATTAGTAGTTTCTGATAAAAATGATTTTTCTTATTACTTGTCAGTGGTAGGTAAAGATGACAAGGGAAGGTAAAGATGCCTTAGTTGACGGTACGAGATGGACGAAAGTATGGCCAGAGGAGCTCACAGTCCGCACATATACGACAGTAGCATAGCCTTTCTCAGAGGCGTCACAAAATCCATGCAGGGTAACCCTGCATTTCCCTGGAGGGAGAAGGCACCTTGGCATGGAGGCCCGGTTGATGTCCGGAAGGGAGAACACAATGGAGAGCCACTCTCGCAAGAGAGCACCGCTTATAGGGTCGTCCCAACCCAACCCGGATATCCAGAGCTTTTGAAGAAAGCACTTAGCCAAAAAAATTATCGGAGTGATCCATCCATTAGGATCGAAGGTGCGGGCTACAGTCGACATCTCAGAGCGCTTGGTCCATGATTTAGGAGGGGGGATCGAGTTTGACTCGATACGTGAAAGTATCCTGAACAGGCTGATATTGAATGCCCAGCACATTCAACAAATTAGGATTTCCAGGGTGCTCGAAAGGATGAGGGTCTTGTTGATCCTCTCCTGGGAGGTCCTTCAAAATATGAGGAGAGTTCGACAACCATTTGCGCAACTCATAACCTCCGGACTTCAGGATGGCAATCAATTCGTCTCGCAATACAAGAGCCTCCTCGACGGTGGAGGCGCCCGTGCAAATGTCTTCCATGTAGACCGAAGTCTCCAAAATAGAAGCCCCCGAGCGTATCTTAGACACTCTCTCTCAGCGAGTTCGAGGAGGGTTCGCATGGCGATATACGGGCTGGAACGGTGTCCATAGGTGGTAGTGTTCAACTCAAACACCTGTATCGGATCGCTGGGCTTCTCGCGCCACAATATCAGCTGATATCGACTGTCATCACGATGGACCACTGATTGTCGAAACATCATCCGAATGTCGGCTACAAAAACCACTTGGAACCGACGGAAGTGAGTCAAAATGTCGGATATGTCCTTGATCAATTTAGGACCATAGTGGAGACACCGGTTCAGGGACACACCATTTGACGAGGGGGCGGAGCCGTCAAAAACTATCCGAATCTTACTCCCAGGGGTCCTCAAGACCGCATGGTGGGGGAGGAAGTAGTGCTCCTGTGACAGCCAGTCGACGTTGGACGGTGACATGTGACCCAGCTCTTGATACTCGCGCATGAACTCGACATATTTGTCGCGAAAGGATGGATCGCGCCGCATACGGCGCTCCATGGAAAGCAACCTCTTTTCGGCCAGGGTACGAGATTGGCCCAAAGGGGGCCGTGAGTCAAGAAAGGGTAAGCGAGTGATAAAACGACCGTCAACACGACGGCCGGTATTGTTCTGGTAGAACAACTCGCACTCACGGTCGAGAGGGTTGACACGGGGCGCGTGTGGTGACTCCTCAATTTCCCAGAACCGCTGGACGACGTCCGAAAGTTACACGCCCACCACAGAGAGCGGGTCGGCCGTCTTAGGAGGTGGAGACAACAGAACCGATATAAAGAAACTATGCCCAAATACAGTGAACATGTCTGACAAGGCATCGGGCTGTAGGGCTCGTATCTCGCCTAACAGGATGAACCCCAGCACGTTGGCTCCCAGCAATAAATCTATAGGCGCAGGTTGGGACCATTGAGGATCTGCCGGTCTCAAACCCGACACACAACGAACCGCGCTGTCATTTATACGGACGTTAGGGAGAAAACCTACAATGTCATCGAGGACCGTTACCTTAACTAGAATATGAAGGTATTCGCTGGCAGGTCCAAACACCAACTTTGCTTGTCCCCTAGGAGCAGGAGGCTCGGCAAAGTCGATACCTACCATTGAACGTGATTCAGAGCTCCAGGGGAGCCCTAGTCTACCCACCAACCAAGTGGAGGCCATACAGCGTTGTGAACCCGAATCTAATAGAGCGCGAATTCATTGAGGCCGTCGGCAATAGAACAGTTTGACAAGTAGACTGTTGACGGCTCAAAGGATCAGTGAAGGCAGCCGTGGTGGGAGCTAGGGCGGCAGCTTCCTAGCTGGAGCTGCCTCCATTGGACCGGCATTCGAGCCGGGGGTCCCGAAAGCGGCATTCCGGCGGCGTCTCAATGACCCGGGGTTGGAAATCACCGAACGGGTCGACCTGCGGCGCCTCAGGGAACCTCGGCCTTGAGGTCCGGGACAAATTCGAGGTCGCAGAAACCCCGTAGTACCAGTACCGAAACAAAGAGGGGATGGTGGTATTCCAGTCGCGGCCTCTCAGCTAACGGGGGTGAGAAGGGTCTAGCTGACCGCTGAGTGGCCGTGAAGTTCCTCTCAACACGCTGAGGGGAGGTGACGACCCCCGCCCCTGGGGGGAACGACGCCCCGACTGGTCGGGGGTGGGACCCCCTTCAAACCAAGGGCACGGTGGCCGGTAGGGGAGCGCCGAGCGTCGCCCGACAGAGGGCGTGGCTGAGCGCCCCCGCCCGTGGGGGTTAAGGGCCCGGCAGAGCCCCGAGAGGAAGCGCCGTTCGCACCCAGGCACAAAACGGCATCGTGGTTGCCCTGGTAGTGCGGACAGGGCCACTGGTGCGGGCAGTCTCGTTGGAGATGCCTTTCCAAGCACGAGTAGCACCAGGGGTGCTCCTTGGCGATGGTTCGTCTCGCTGGGACCGGCTTACCCAATAATTTCGGGCACCACGTTAACCGGTGATTGTATGCTCGACAATAGGAGCAGGGGGGTGACTCCCTGGCCACTAGGCCACTATAAGATGGTAGAGAGCGGCGCCCTCCCGCGGGAGCTCCGCTCGATCTTAGGGGGGGTTGGCGACGACTTGCCCAGGGGATTCCGCCTCTCCCTGGGCACGGCTCGGTTGGCCGTCCGTAGGTCGTCGACGGTGCCCGCTGCGTTATCAATCTGCCTGCACTGCTCCTCCAAGAACCGCAGCAGGTCCCTGAAGGGCGGAATATAGGAGGCGCCGTCACCGTCGTACCTCTCCTCACAATGGATCCGAAGATCGAGAGGCAGGCGGGACAGCACGATGTGGAGCAATTCAAGGACCATTCGTCCACTGGTAAATCCAGCCACCTCAAAGAATTACAGGCCACCAAGACTGGATTTACGATGTCCGGACGTAGTCTGGCCCGGTCCTTAAGCAGCGGGAGGTTTAACAGCTGCTTAACGTATTCGTCCGCAATTCGCTGGACGTTGGTACCTTCCGGCGAAGAGGTCCCGGGCGGTCTCCTGGGGCGGCGGTAGGCGTCGTCCGACAATTTCAGATGGCCGACGACGCCCAGGGCCTCCCCCTCCAGTGAGGCCAGGAGGTACGCCATCTTCTGGCTTGGTGTTAAGTCCCTCCGGGCGTCCACTAGGCTGTCAAAAAGGCCAACAAAGGTCAGCCAGTCAGAGAGGACCCCGGAGAACCTTGGCAGGTCCAGAGTTGGGAGTCGTCCCAACAGCTCCGGCTGAGTAGGCTGCTTACGAGGGGACTCCAGCAGGCCACTCAGCCGAGCTTCACGCGCTTCATGAGCATCCTTAGCCCCCCGCCTCGATCAAGTCGTCCGTGAGCGAAAAAAATTGCTCGTAGTCCGCGAGGCAGGAGTCTCAGACTCCCTGTTCCGCATCCGAGGCCAAAAGCTCAGTGCAAGCCTCCTCCACTACGGCCCTTCGGGCCATGACCTGCTCGAACGGCTTCTCTAAACTATGGACCCGATCGGTTCGCCCTATCAAGGTGTGGACATTCGCGGCCCAGCGCAGCTCCGCCTGCAATCGAAGTGCCGGTGGCTTGTGCGATGGCATTACTACTAAATACAATTACTACTAAATTAAATTAAACACAATTACACTACACGGCAAGTACACACTACAGTCGGTCTACAAAGATGCCCCGCTGAGGCGACCGACCCTTCGGCAATTTAATCTAATTACCCGAAATACCTAACGCGTAGGTACCTAACTCCAAACTACACTCGTGCTTGAACAGCCTAACGGGCGTGGCTTGAACCACCGATCCGCTAACAAACAACAAAAAAAAGTATTATTATATTACGGCCGGATGTGATTGTAGAAACAATCAATCATGCTCTGCTACCATCAATGTTACGGCCCTCAGTTACCCCGACAAAAGTCGACAGGATTAGGGACCATCAGTAATCCAACTCGACGAGCAACCGAGGGGAGGGCCCAATGGCCTATGGATAATTAATTTATAAAGGCTGTATAAGCAAACTTACCGAGCTCCGGAGGTAGTGTCGACCACAAGGCACCGTCAGGGGTAAGTAAATGGTATGTGTGAGTGGTGTAGGAAAGTGTGTCATGTAACTTGACGTCACCGAGGTAATCGTTTAGCAACACCACATGCGATGACCG